AGCTCTGTCAATTAAAGCTATAATTACAGATCTTTCGTTAGTTAGACGATTGGGTGAGTTAACTTCTAAGTATTCTTCAGTGTTAGTAGGTTTGCAATTGACTTTCGTTTCACTGCAACTATCAGGGCTAACTCTTAGGACAGCGAAAAAGAACAGACTTTGATTAATTTTCATTTCAATGATAGCTTTACAATTTGAGGATGAGGGCATTGAAAAGGTATAGCGCTTTATTTTTATTTCCATTGGGACATATGGCGAAAATATCGTCAAAGTATCTTTTAAAAGCTTTTGAAACAAGTCAGAATTGGTATTCCGCGCCATAATTTAAATTTCATGTTCCATAAAAGTTTCGACAAAAATGGGGAAAAGTGAGTTACCCCTGGATGCCCCTTATGTTTATTGGAAGAACTTACCATCCAAGGAGAAATAGTTCGCTTCTACAATGTTAAAAGTTACTAACTCATTCTTCAGATATTCTCCACTCTTGCCAGACATCTTAGACATAGTCCGTTTTCGTTCGCTGCGGCCCACTATGGTTCTAGGTCACAGCCCTGTGCGGCTTGACTTGCTCAGGGTTTGTTTCGATGAGCCTGTGAACATCCACTTCTCCTGCGGTTGCTCGTTCGTACCACCACGGAACGGTGCCAATTCTCTCAGACAACTTAGAAAGAGACCATACTTAATTAAAGTTTGGACGTGGCACTGATTTCACGGCTAACTACTTTGGGATTGCTGAAGCACGGGACGACATTACAAGGCCTGGATTATGAAGTGTGCCAATATTAAATCATTCATTGATAATGATCAATCTAAACGTCATTAATACCTCTCTAGCTACGTGTATTAGTCGAAACAATTTCCTTAAATCACTTCGCTTCTCCTCAGTCGATATAGTTTTTTTAAAGCGTTTCACGCAAATCAGAAACTTGTTTCGTCCATGTGTATCACTTTACTTTGATCATATTTTTCTAAAATCATAAACTTTTACAAAATACACAATGAATTGTGATAGCCTGCTAATGACTATGTCATCACATCGCTCTTACCTTGACATGATTCACCAGGTTAATCAGGGTTTTGATAAAATCGTGTCGTTTAGGCTTGATTCGTCGCGTTGGTCATCAGATCGAACGTATTTGCATTGTGAACTCGCCAGTGGATGGACCGTTTCTGACCAATGGCTTCTACGAGTTTCTGTTTAACAAACTGACCAACGTAAGCCTGATATACATGCGGCAGCTGAATCTACGTAACTTGAACGCAGCCACCGTCCGTACTCTAGCGCACTTGGTCTGTCTGAAGAAGGTCATCGTACATGACTGTCAGTCTTTTGAAACCCTGACGCAAGAAGGATCACTGAAACCCGCGCTGATGTGCTTGAACGGCCAGATTAAAGGACTACAGTTTCTCTTAGAAGGACTTGGTGCTCTGCCTGAAGGAATCGATTGACAACCGAAGTACCTAAACGTCGAAAATGAAGTTCAGTGAACAGCGAATTCGCTAGTTGTTAGCTACACAGTTGTAGAGAGTTAAAAGCATTTATGTTTAGGAGTGTTTCGCTCTATATGTTGAGTTGTCATGTTGGTTAAATAGATTTTTTCTGCAAAAGGAAGAAAATGCTAGAAATTAATATTTCGCAATTAAACCGAACTATAATTGTTTCTAGCATGAAATCGCATGGCACGCAGAATGTTATTTAATAATGCGCCTAGATGCTCTTATACGGGACTGTTGAATATCTTATCAAAATCTATTAGTTTAATGTTCGCTACACAATGCATCTGATTGAGTCAGAAATGAAAGATGGGGCAGACAGAAGATTCATTATTTCCTCTTTTCCTTATGTTCGTCAATCTTATTTTGAAAACTTTCTTGCTTTGTTTCTACTATTTTGACTTCGATACATCTAGTTTACTGCAAACACAAGGTTATATACGCAGCTAAATGCAAAACTGCCTTTTTCTTCCGAGCATGTTCCCTTTAACAGAGATCTTCCATTCGAGTCAATCTCCTCCAAATTTTTCTCTCACTCTTTATATCTTCAGAGACTCCTCACAGTTTCATATCATTCTTGAGGACATCGCGCCACCTTTCCTTCTGTTTTCTCCTTCTTTTCTTCACTGAAAGTATCAGTGCTTGGACCATATTTCCAACCTACTCGATGGGTCTTTTTTTCACTTGAATAAGCCAATGGAACCTGCTTCCGATAAGCTTTTCTGAAATTGGTGCAACCCCTAGAGTGCTTCTTATGGAGCTGTTTCGGATTTGGCCCTTGCTGCTGATACCTCTCCTCCATCTAAGCATTCGCATTTCTACCGAGTTCAGCTGTCACTCGAGTCCTTTCAAGGAAGCCATTTATTCCACTCCGTACAGATGCACCGGTTCTAATGCCGTTTTGTACACTTTCTCCCTTAGTTGGATGGGCACCTTCTGTCGCATAGTACTCCGCTCACTTCTCTTCATTTGAGCCAAGCTTTGCTTTTTTCGACCAATTTCTTACCTCGCTGTCGATTTCCGTGCTATCTTGCAGGATGGAACCCAGATAGTTGAATTATTGAGTTTGAGGCAAAAAGCTCCATGCTATTTTCACTTGTTTGACGGATTTCAACCTGTTTTCCCCCACTGACGTAGCCCATCATGTATTCTGACTTGCCTTTGCTGATTCGAAGGCCATTCTTCTCAAGAGCTGTTCTCCATGCCTCGGCTTTTGCTTCTACTGCTCCCTTTCTTTTACTGCACAGCACAATGTCATCTGCATAGAGCATGCAGTATGGGGCTGCTTCCTGCTGATCCTCAATTATCGCGTCTGTCGCCATCGAGAACAGAAATGGACTCAGTGCG